GTGGTGAGGGGGGAGGTGATGGGGGTGGTAAGGGGATGGTGATGGGGGCAGTGAAAAGGCGGTGAGTGGGGAGAGGTGAAGGCTGTGCTGGGCCGCCGTCTGAGCAGGCGGCAGTGTAAGCTCCTGCGTGGGAAGACAGGAAATAGTGATGGGGAGCTCCCTTGGGTCCCTGGTGTGCTGCTGAGAGACGGAGAGGCTGACTGCCCCTTCACACCTGCCACGGCGGATGGTCTGGCCCCACGTGGCAGTGCTACACCCCCACCCCACCCCCACCCGAGTCCTGCTCTGGGCTGGATGTTCCTCCGGGCTACCCAGGTAGAGAGGGGAGCGCCTGACCTGGCTGATCTCCTTTGTTTCTTGGAGACGGACCCCAAAGGAGTGTTCGTGCTCCCCCCTCACGGCGTGCAGGACCTGCAAGTGAGCGTGCGGCCCCGCCGGGCCGGCAACAGGTTTGTCCACCTCAACCTCGTGGACGTGGACTTCCACCAGCTGGTGGCCTCCTGGCTCGTCTGCCTCTCGTGCCGCCAGCCTCTTATCTCCAAGGTCAGTGCTCTGCATTGGCTCCAGGATCCGGGCGATGTGGTGTCACCAGCTGTCCCCTCCGCCCCGGGGTGGAGGTCCCTCCGGGTGGGACAGGTGGGGCTAGAGTGTTTGCTCCCTTCCCGTCTGCTTCCCCCCCCCCCCCTGAATCGGGAACGTGTGTGCTTGCTGGTCACCCTGTGACCCCGCTCAGGAGCCCTGTGAGTGTGGCGCAGGCCCAGGCAGCACTAGAGACGGTGATGGTGACCTTGACCTTGCCCTCTGCTGCACAGGCCTTTGAGATCACGTTGGCTGTGGGCGAAGGGAAGGGAGCCAACAAGCGGATCACCTACACCAACCCCTACCCTTCCCGGAGGGCCTACCGCCTGCACAGCAGCCATCCCGACCTGCTGCAGTTCAAGGAGGACTCCTTCGAGGTGTGCGGGGAACGGGGTGGCTCACACACGGCTGCAGGTGACCCGGGGGGACCTCCTTTCCCAGAGCACTGAGGCTCCCATGAGCACATGCCGGGAGGAGCCTGTAGTCAGCGCAGGGCCAGCTTCGGAAAGCCCTTAGAACACAGGAAGTGGCACTGTGTGCGTGCGCTCCTGGGGGACATCTTCTGCAGGTGGCCACTCACCTGGCTAGTTTACCCAGAACTGTCCCCAAGACCCATCTCACAAACGGGAGCAGGGCAGGGAAAGTGAGGCTCCTCCCACCAGCTTGTCCCCCAAAGGGACAGTCCTTCCCTTCATCCACGAGGCACCTGCTTCAGCCGAGCCCGGGTGGCCTGGTTAAGGCAGATGCCACGTGGGGGGAGAGACGAGGAAGGCAGGCAGGTTGGGCTCAGTGTTGGCCACTGCACTTCTACCCTCCTTGCAGGCCGGGGGAGTGAGTCCCCACGTGGCCGGGTAGGCTGGGTTCTCGAGAGAGAACCGGACCAGTCACAGAAGGGCACAGCCTGAGACGCCCAGCCCCCGCGCACTCTGGGTCTGCTCTGCTTGCTTTGCAGGTGGGCGCTGGGGAGACGCACACACTCGGCCTGCGCTTCGCCCCGAGCCGGGGGCCTGGGGAGGAGGAGATTCTGATCTACATCAATGACCACGAGGACAAGAACGAGGAGACCTTCTGCATCAAGGTCACCTACCAGTAAGAGGAGCCCGGCCGGTGCTTTCTAACTGCTCCCCAGCTGCAGTGGCAGTGGGCACCCCTGTGTGCCTGCGGGCCCTACTCCCAGCCTTTGACCTCCAGGGATGCTCCCAGTAGGCCCAGGACCTTGGCCAAGGGGTGGAGGGTGTGTCTGGTCAGGCTGCTGCCAACCCAGCCCACGGAGTGAACCAATGAACTGATTTCAACAAAATGTGTCTTATGAATCATCTTCTGTGATAGAATTATGATTTATTACTGCATTTTATACGGATATAATATATTATTTGATATGCAATGTTTACGCTGGCATCATTTCATGTTTTTTAAGTTTTTTAAAACACTAGATTTCTCCCCTCTTTTCTCTCTGACCCCTCACTGGAGGTTTTTGGTCACATCAGTTTGTTTTCCTCGGAGGGACACATGCCTGAGAGCGAGGACACAGAATCCAGCTTGACCTGTGACGGAGGGGGTAGGGGTGGGCAGGCCTCTGCCATGTCCACTGCATGGGGGTCATGCCCCATGGGCCTGGAGATTTTCTCAGAGGACACACCACCTCATCAGTGCTTCCAGAATGCCCTCTCCTTTGTGGGGGTGGTGTGGGGTGGTGCTGCCAGCTCTGACTCTAAGCCGGCCCATGTACCAGGCAACAGAACACTACCAGGGGCTGCCCAGCCCCACAGCTGTTACACGAGAGGCCCTGTCGCAGCCATTGTGTCAGTCCGTCGCAATGAGGGCCTTCCTTTTTCTGTTGCCTGAGCACGACGTCCTCCCGGGACTAGTCTCTCCTAGTAACACCCAGAACGCGTGAGACAGTCTCGCCGTCCTTCCCTGCAAGGGCCATCAAGGCTGTGCTGCTTCCAGAATGGTCTGTCTGTTCTCCAGGCCACTGTCCACGTGGCTCTCTGTGTGCTCAGCCTTGGTTTTTGACTCAGTGGCATTATGTCCCCCTCCTCGTGGTCTTGGAGACCAGCCCCTAGCTCCTGGAAGTTGCCGGCAGCAAGGAAGGGACTGCAGCTTAGAGTTCCCCAGCTCTCAGCCAGCCAGCCGAGGCCCCCGCATGGAGTCCCGCACAGGGAACAGCAAAGGGTGAGCCACCCAGCCCTCTCGGCAGGAGAGAGGGGGCGCCCATCCCCGAGGGGCAGCTCTGCCATCAACACCAACTGCAAGGGCCCGGGCAATCGAGTCCTGTGACTGCTAGGGTGTGTGAAGAAGCAGCGGCTGCCGGAAGAGGGGGTGAGGAGCCTGGAGACCAGGGTGCAAGCTGAGCTCCTTTTCTTCTTATTTATTTCTAAAAATCATCGTATTGATGTCGTTTCACATACCCTAATATCATGCCCTTCCACAGTGAAGTTGCTTTTTTTAAAAGTTGTATCTACATCATCACAATCGGTTCTAGTGTTCCCTCCCCGCTCTCATATTCCTTATTTGCTCCCCAATTCCCCTCACTCTCCCCCTTTCTCCCTAGTTCCTGAGGAAGCACTGCGTCAGTTACTGTCTCTGTGCATCCACTCCTCCTGTGCTTCCCAAACTGGGAAACCCAACAGAAACACTAAAAAGAGAAGAAAAAAAAATAAAGGTAAAAATGCAGAGAGAAAAATAGTACACTAGTAATAGTACACTAGAAATAGTACACGAAACAAGTGAGAAATATTTAAGCCTAGAGCAACTTCAGATTGGGTCGAGAGGGAGGTCAACCGAACCAACATCATGCTTGTTCGATGCACCATAATCAAGTGTACAACAATCTCTGTGTGATAGTATCCTTTCATTATTCTATAAAAGTTTTAAAGAATGGTCAGGTCTACACCTTTATAATCATTACCTAGCTTCAACAAGGGCAAGCAATTTTACCGCTTTTGCTTTCTCTATATGAATTTAAAAAAATCATTTAAAATCATTGTGGACACCATGCCCCTCCCTCTAATATCAGTGTGCATCTCCCAAAAGTATGATCATTCCATGACACAAGTGCACATGACTGTTCCTTAAATATTTTACACACTTCTGTTAGTAAGACATCCCAGACCATTGCCTCAAATTACTTGCTATTAGCAGTCAGGCACGATGTCCTTGTATATACCCTTTTGGAGATCTATGAGAACTCTTCAATTTTTAAAAAAGTGTGTGTCTCCAGTCTCACTCCCAGCCAACCCTGGGACCTTGGTCAAGCCACTCAGCCTCCGGGCATTCGTGCCCTTAGTTGGTGGCCTTGCCCACGGTCTCCCAAAGGCATGGCGAGTATGTGAGAGAGCAGCAAAGGCGTTTGAAGGCTGCTCCGTTTCCAGGCTGGGCTGTGGGCCTGGGGTCAGTGGTCCGTGTGGTTCCAGAGCAGCCCCCTGACCGGTGTTCCCAGGACTGGAGACTGACCGTCCCCTGACTGTGCCAGTGGGTGGGAGAAGAGCGTGCCTGCAGGTCATCGCAGTGTGTGTGTGTGTGTGCGCGAGCATTGGGTGTGTGTGTGTGAGGGTGGACTTCAGGGGGACAGCGGTTCAAGCCTATCAGCTGCTCCTGAAGAGAAAGATGAGGCTGTCTGCGCTTGTAAAGATCTCCAGTCTCTGAGTCCTAAGGAGCAGTTCGACTGGTCCAATCAATACAGGGCTGCTCCGAGTGGAAATCAAAAGACTGGGCTTTCTAATCCCAGAAACGGTTACAGTCTCAGAAACCCGCAGGGGTTCGCGATGAGGCAGTATTGACTCGATGGCAGTGCGTTTGAGTGGACGTCAACGTGATAGCAGTGGGCTGGGTTGGTGTTGGGTTGCGTTTGTTTGGATTGTGTTGTGGTGGGTTTGCTTTGGGCTGGGTTGGGTTCAACCACCTAAGATGTCCTTTCTGAGCGAGTCATCTTTCGGGTGATGACTGAGGTAGCCGGTTCTGCTATAGCAGATACACCACAAGTGGGTGACTCGTGAGCAAATATATGTTCTCGTGGGTCAGAAGCTCAAATTCAGGGCCTCAGCTCTAGAGGAAGGTCCATGTCTCCTTTCAGCATCGTGGGCCAACCTTCCTTGGAGAGCTCCATCAGTCTTTCCCTGCTTGCTGCTTTCTCCTTTTCTCTCTTACAGGCATGACTCCAGATCCCACCCGCCGAGTCCTGCCTCAGTAGGATAACCACACAGGACTGGGAATCAAGGCCTCACCACGTTGGCACACATTTAAATAACTCGCTGTCTGCCATCCAGTCATAGCGACCCTGGCTGACAGAGTAGAACTGTCCTTTTGGGGTTTTGAGACTCTTCACGGGAGAGAAAGCCTCCTCTTCTCAGAGCAGCTGAGGGGTTCGGACTGCTGACCTTGTAGTTATCAGCTCACCATGTAACCCACTACCCCACCAGGGCTCCTTGACACATGTTGAGGGGACACAGTTCAGTCCATGCCAGTGCCCCCAGTAAGTGCGTCTTAGCATTCTCCAGCCCAAGAAGCATTCTGGCTGTACGTCACACGATCCCTCATTTCTTCTGGTATCTGCGCGATCCAGTGAGTACGAGGGGACTCTATATAGTGTTGTGAGGCCACTCGTACGTGCAAGGGGACTTAAAAAGGTTCTGGGGGAAAATTCCATTCTAATTCTATTTTTCTATGAGCTTTGGGGAGCACCCTTGTATACTGGGGGACAGAGTTCTTTCTAAAGACCACCTCACCTCAGCTTGCAACCCCCGGAGTTTGGTGGCTTCCTGACATTGCCAAGTAAGCCGCTTCTTTGGGCAGCTGCAGGCAGGCTCGGTGTCTGTGTGTGAGGGACGCTGGCAGCGGCAGTGATTTGTGGCGCTGTTGCTCACTGCAGGCTGCTCTCCTGAAGTCAGCGTGTGACTGACTGAGCCCAGCACAGGGCCCGTTGCTGCCGGCTCACACCCCTGAGGCGCTATCAAGCCCGAGCCTGGCAGCGCTTTGAAAAACCATCCCTGCAGCTTGCACCTCTGGAAAGACGGGTGGCTTGGGAAGCCTAATTGCTCACTCACCAGCAGAAACCCGGTGGTGGGGGGGTGGCGCGGAGTGATGGGAGGGGTGCAGGCGTGTGCACGCGTGTCGTGGGGCCTTCTAGTGCCCCTCCCTTTTCCAGATAGTTCCAGGAGCTGGTTCATCTGCCCCCACCTACAAGGAGACAGGCTACCTACTCACTTGAGGCATGCTCTTTAGGCAGAATGTGGAGAACGAGGGGCTGTGCTTCCCTGTGGACGCGGATCCGCCGATGGCACTGCCCGTGTGAAATGCTGGGGCCTCTGGGTCTGCGTACCACGGGCCATCCCCTCAGCCTCATCCACTGTCCACTGGGCCCACTTGAGACAAGGTGATTGTCAAGAGCCAGACGTGTCCCTGATGGCACTCTTTTATGGGGCGCTCTGCGCCCTGAGCCCCTGGAGGGTGGAGGTGTGTTGTTCTCCATCAGGCAGAGGTGGGTTTCCCATTAGGGTGGCTCAACAGGACCCCCTGGCTGCTCCCTGGAAGGGGAGGGCTGGGGAGTAGGAGGGGGTTGGCATCACTCCAGTGGGGGCTCAGCCTACAGGTCAGAAGTGGTCTTGGCTTTGATCTGAGAGTTTGGAGAGCCAGCGACCGTTAAACACACTCACTCTCTTGCCCATTCATTCACTCATTCAGTCATTCACTCACCCACTCATTTGCTCAGTGACTCAATCATTCATCCACATGCACACTCATTCATTTAATTACGCATTTACTCATCCACTCATTCTTTCATTTACATTCTGCCTTAGTTATTATCTAGCACTGCTCTCACAGAAATACCACAAGGGGCTAAAATCAACGTATTCTCCCACAATTTGGGAGGCTGGAAGTCCAAAGGGGTGGGGCACGGCTCTAGGGAAAGGCTCTGTCCATGTGGGAGGAAGGTTCTGATCTCCTGCCAACACCTGTGGGCCTGAGCACCTTGGAGGTCTCCCTGCGTCTTGGTATCAGCCTTCCCTGGGTCTATACGGTTCCCAACACAGGGACCAGCTCCTCTCTTGGTAGTCCTGAGGCCGCTCACTTCTCTCTCTGCCTACCTCTTAGAAGGCAAAGGTGCTGCAGGCCACATCCCAGGGAAACCCCCCTTAGTCCCCTTACACCCCGGAGAATCTAGAGCTGTGACCTGAGGAAGGGTGTTGCATCTGACCCTAAATATCTTACAAGGACTGATTGATCGCATCGTTTGGCCCAGCCAAATTGACATACTTGGGGGAACACAACCCTTGACACTTAGTCACTCACTCGTTTACTCACACTCACTTGCTCACTCATTCATCCCTTTGCTCTCATTCATTTCTGCCCTCCCTCCCGCACCCCCCGCCCCCCATTCAGGCACTCTCG